GGTATTCCAACAAGATTCGGCGCCAGCTCATAGAGCGAAGAGCACACAAGACTGGCTGGCGGCGCGTGAAATCGACTTCATCCGGCACGAAGACTGGCCCTCCTCCAGTCCAGATTTGAATCTGTTAGATTACAAGATATGGCAACACTTGGAGGAAAAGGCGTGTTCAAAGCCTCATCCCAATTTGGAGTCACTCAAGACATCCTTGATTAAGGCAGCCGCCGATATTGACATGGACCTCGTTCGTGCTGCGTTAGACGAGTGGCCGCGCAGATTGAAGGCCTGTATTCAAAATCACGGAGGTCATTTTGAATAAACTTTAGTGTCATAAGAATCTATGTTTTGTTAAGTTCATTTTGGTATATGAATGGTTACATAATGAATTAACTTGTTTCAATTATTTTACATTAAACATGTGACAGAATTTATGACCTGACTAGGTATAAGTAATTTTGAGGCTTAAATCCCGTTCATAACGATCATTTTTGAATTTGCTAAACTATAATACAAATACTGTTATTCATGGACACGTAATGCGATAATCTACGAGTATGTTACTAAAATATAATTTGTTAGAGTTTCAGTACATATCACGACAATAATTAATTTAATTTTGAAATAATTAAATTTCATAGCGATGTCATGAATACAGTGAAGATGGCTAACTTTTGGGCCTACGTGGGCCTAAAATTTTATAGATGGCGATCATTTTTCTTCATGTAGGTATACAAAAATGTCAAAGCTTAAAAGTGTTTTGAATACGAAATGCCACAGAATATTTCGGAAGAGCTGTCAAATCTGAACCCTTGCTTGCTGCGACCGCCACGGAAACTCTTCACAAACTGCAGAGAGCGCTGGAGGCAGCAGAACGTTAGTGGTGCGTTTGCGGAGCTTCGGAGACTGGTGCCCACTCATCCACCAGATAAGAAGCTATCGAAGAACGAAATACTCCGGATGGCTATCAGGTCAATAATCAAGTTATTCGTTTCGATTTCGGCTACGCAGACTGATTCCTATATTTAGCTAGTGGAGCCCGTGGAGTTTCGACAGCATATCGACGCTTTAAAGGCAAATGTGACTTAGCGACAATAACTGCTTTATACATAAATAATAGGTAATAACCATATTCGATGTGCAAAAAATATATATTTCTAGGTCTATTAAAATCATTTTATTCCTACAGCTAAATTCGTTAAAATAGAATTTTTTTCAGGTATTTCAACTTTAAATTAGTCTACTGTAAAGTTCACGCACTGTCGCTTAGTCACATTTGCCTTTCAAGCGTCGATATCTTCATTTGGTCATGAAATACAATTTTTCATGCACAAACCGTTTTTGTATTACCCCTGTAGCCAGACTGTGCCACAAAAAAGCTTCTGCTTGCCTGTAAGCCTCTTTTAAAAGAAGACATCATCATCATCATCATCATCATTCTCCTGCCCTTCTCTCAGTCACCTGGGGTCGGCGTAATATGTTTTTTCCTTCCATACTCCTCTATCATATACCGTTTCTTCACTCACTCCCCTCTTACACATATCGTCTTTCACGCAATCCATCCATTTATTCTTAGGTCTACCTCTTCCTCTATATCCTTCTACAATTATAGTTAACACTCTCTTACCAACCTCATTTTTATTTCGTCTCATCACATGTCCATACCATCCCAAACGCGCACTTCTTAGCATCTCTGTCACAGGTGCCACTTTCAGACTTCCACTAACATATTCATTCCCTATTCTACCTGTTCTCGTTACTCCACACATCCATCGCAATATTCGCATCTCTGCTGCATGTAATCGCCTTTTGTGTAAAATAATTCTAAAGAATTTATAAGAATCCTTTAATAGAAAAAATCGGGCAAAAAATATGTCTTCTCATCTCATCTCTAGAAACGCCCTGTGGATGAACGAAGTAATTGTAGGTAGTATGGTTGACCTCCGCTTCGGCGGCGGTAGCGATGGTAAAAACCAGACAATGGGATTATTTCAAATAATTCCTCCTAAGAGTAAGATTATTAATAATCCGATCGGCCCTGGTCAGAGTCAATTGGAAGTAGCTGAAAGTGTCTCAAATGTTAGTGTGTACCCACATGAATCTAACAGTACCTATATTTCCAAATGTAGTACGGTATTTTGAAAGCTGTGACTTAGATATTAAGTACAAGTAAAATCAAAACATTTGCTTATATACTGGAGCACATACTGGAACTCTGGGAGTTCTAAATTCTGTATCAAATTAGTTTTTATTAGACTTACTATATTATATTACTACATCATCTTCTATGTGATTTATTACGAGTAGTGTATATGATATGTCACTGTTCTCTATTTAATTGCACGAGAAACTAATCTAAGAGGCAGATAGCCAAGCAATATTTTCTTGAAAATTCCGGTAACTCGATAAAATTTACACAGGTACATAGGACTTCTTTGCGAGGTCCTGGAATGGCAGAAGAACCACAGCGTCACCAATAAGGAGAATTCCGGTAGCTTGGCGATCAAATGTGAATCTCCGCTGAGTCCTCAATCCAGAAGACTTCGATTAAAACGGCAGTGTTTTGACGAAGACGGTCCAAGAGCCAAACTGTACCACGATCAAGAAGAGTATTTCCGGTACGGCAACGAAGAAAATCAGGAGTTGTTAAGAGGAAAGGGCTTAGGGAGACCGGATTTGTATTTCGGGAAGGAACACCTTAGGGTGTTGAGACACCAGTATTACTATTCGCCGAGGTGGAGACAGACTTACCCGTTCAGAAGTCTGGCCGATCGCAACGGGAATAACTTGCTGATGATCGCTCCCCTCCAGAATGGGGGGAAAGAAGATGTAAAGCCGAACGGTTGCAAAGAGAACGAGAAAGAAGATAAATAAGTAGCGTTTCAAATGATTTACGTTGTTAGGATCTAAATCGCGATCTCGTAGAAAATTATGAAACAAAATTTAGAATTAGTTTCAGAATTCTATTTATTTTTAAACCTATTGGAGGAAGATGGAGAAGGTGATTCTGCTGATGGGGCATAGTAACTATCACGTGGTAGTAATGCCCAATGTGCTAAGTGCGAGTTTTTTAACGTTCTCGATAGCGTAAAAGTTAACACAAATTTGTATGGGGTTCCAGTTTCTCTTCATTTGTCGCTAGGGGGGCTGTTTCAAACTCCATACAAGTTTGAGTTAACTTTTACGCGATCGAGAATGTTAAAAAACTCGCAATTAACACAGGCGGTGATAAGTTGAGCGGAAGAGTAATAATAATAATAATATTTACTAACAATCACGCCACGTTAACTGGTCCCGTGATAAGTTCGTAAAGAACTTGTGTTACAGGTACCAGATAACGGAAATAATGTAAGATTTTTATTATACACATACATATATTTAATATACATCCATAACCCTGGAAAATACATTTATATTTATCATACAAATATCTTCCCTTGGCGGGATTCGAACCCGCGACCCCCTTGTGTAGTGACCATGTCACTTACCACCACTACACCAGACGGCCGTTAAAGAAGACAGGCCAGAAGAGTGCCAAGTTAAAGAAGTTGAAAAGTCACGAAATTTATCAACACGCTTTTATTAGTTTGGTACTACGTTTGGCGCTAGGGGCGCTGTTCCCACTGCATACTTTGAGTTAACTTTTACGCTATCGAGAACGTTAAAAAACTCGCACTAAACACACAGGTACTCATCCGAGCTGCTTCTCTCCATCTCTCCTATATTCTATTCTACGTCCTTTTCTTTTATTGCTTAGATGAGTGGACGAGCTCACAGCCCACCTGGTGTTAAGTGGTTACTGGAGCCCATAGACATCTATAACGTAAATGCGCCACCCACCTTGAGATATAAGTTCTAAGATCTCAGTATAGTTATAACGGCTGCCTCACCGTTCAAACCGAAACGCATTACTGCTTCACGGCAGAAATAGGCAGGGCGGTGGTACCTACCCGCGCGGACTCACAAGAGGTCCTACCACCAGTAATTACGCAAATTATAATTTTGCGGGTTTGATTTTTATTACACGATGTTATTCCTTCATCGTGGAAGTCAATCGTGGACAATTGTTAAGTACGTATTTCATTATAAAAATTGGTACCCGCCTGCGGGATTCGAACACCGGTGCATCGCTACATACGAATGCACCGGACGTCTTATCCTTTAGGCCACGACGACTTCAAAACGGAATGACGTCCTTTATTCTAATTGAAAAAAGTAAAACCAGCAATGAAACAATTTTCAAAGCTATTTGCGTTAGTGGGTTGTTATTTTAGGAGTTTGGATCGTAAGTTGAAAGAGTGCTGTCGTATGATCTGTTCACTTCAAACGAGAGATTGAGCCGTCGAGAGAAACTTGTTAATGACATAATGAGATCTATTAAGATAGTAATAGTAAAATAATTTTGAAAAATAACATGACTACTAATAGCCCGTATTTCGGGATATCACAGTTAAAGCTTTGTAAAAATAAATCTTTTTAACACTACATAAGAATGTTTACATTTACTGGTGGTAGGACCTCTTGTGAGTCCGCACGGGTAGGTACCACCGCCCCGCCTATTTCTACCGTGAAGCAGTAATGTGTTTCGGTTTGAAGGGTGGGGCAGCCGTTGTGACTATACTGAGACCTTAGAACTATATCTCAAGGTGTGTGGCGCATTTACGTTGTAGATGTCTATGGGCTCCAGTAACCACTTAACACCAGGTGGGCTGTGAGCTCGTCCACACACCTAAGCAATAAAAAAAGAAAAAAAAAGTTTTTTCAGAATAAGTACTATTCAAATTTAATAATTTTAAAGATTTGCTTAAGAATTATTTGTAGAAATAAAAGTTACCCACAAATTTTTGTTTCAATTCACACGCCCCGTATCTACGTCCCTTTCTTACAGGTATAGCTGTCTCGTTTATCGATTAAGGGTTGGTAGGTTCGTAAGCCACTCCCTCGGCGCAAATCGAGCTTCAAGCATTATACAGAAAAAAATTATGTTGCGTGCCAATAGTGTTAATAATTGTGAAAAGTTCCGTGTCGATATTTAAAACAAATGTTTTTTCAAATCTTAAATTTAAGACGATCTCTGGATCTATTTACTGAATAATTTTCAAAGGGCTTTAAACTATAAAGCTTGCTTTTGATGTAACAATACACTAAGTCAAACTTTTGTTATTGGTGGTAGGACTACTTGTGAGTCCGCACGGGTAGGCACCATCACCCTGCCTATTTCTGCCGTGAAGCAGTAATGCGTTTCGGTTTGAAGGGTGGGGTAGCCGTTGTAGCTATACTCGAGACCTTAGAACTTATATCTCAAGGTTGCTGCATTTACGTCGTAGATGTCTATAGGCTCCGGTAACCACTTAACACAAGGTGGGCTGTGAGCTCGGGTGTACGAGCTAAGCAATAAATAAATAAAAAACTTGGAATGAAATCGGATTTCTTATATGTAGTTGATAGTTGCTACCTTATATGTAGTTCAATTCCAATAGACTGGGTTCAGTATAAAAACTAATTACAAAATCCACTTTGAAAAGTAAGAATTGAAAATCCGCTTTCAAAAGTAAGAGAGGGTTATAGGATACAATGTTGACTTTGATCTCATCTCTTAAGGTCAGTGACGATATTCACGGTGTGACGTCATTGAGCTCTGATGAACATTTGACATAAGGATCGTAAACCAGTTCAAACGTCTGTGCCGGCTGTATGCTTATCTGCTTAGAAAGGCAGTAAAAGATTACTGCACTAACCGAAGTTAGCGCCCCTGATGACCTGGAACGAGTAGTAGGGTTACCGCAGGCAAGACTGCAACCAGATGTGCTGCTCCCAAGGACGCCTGGTGACAGAGTCTTCGTGGCGTATCGAGGACTTGCACAGTCTCAGTACGGCAGCCCGTCAGACCACCCCAAACGGTGCCGCTGATGTCACGGATTTGCATTGGTTCAGAACCAGTCTTCCGGGTCGGGACGCGGTAAGCCGCCAACTTATAGTGTGTGGTTGTTACTCCGGGGCAGTGCGCCGCGTTTCCTCAATCCCCTCAGGTCGCCCCGTGACATTCACCGAGGTTATACAACATAGTAATTAGGTAAACTCAGTTTAATGTGAGGACAAGGCATAGTCGGCTCACCAATTTGATTTCTAGTGTAGGTAAGCTCTCGGGGCTCAAACCGGAACTGTTGCTAACACTCGCCCTAGCAAGAGCAGTGCTTCATAGAGTCTACCACCGGATCGGAAACGCGACCCACTGAGAATATCCTAACCCATAGACACAGCCCACTGAGAGATTACTACGCCTCGAGCCCTTCGTCGCAAGGGACGGGTTCGGCGAGGACGGTGAGTTGTGCTTGAGGTACCTAAAAGCACCGTTAATGGATCCGCAATGACGTGATGGGGTATCTGATAAGACATATTTAGAGCGACGGCGGCTTTGCGTTTGCCCGTGGCCTGGCTAGGATATCGGTGGCCACAATAAGAGTTTTAACACCGCGATGGTGAGTAGTATGGGTGTAGATCAGAATAATTAGAAGTAGTAAAATCAGTTCGTTCTGGTTAATAACTGCAGAACTACGGGCTCAGAGTTTGTTTTCCCTATTCAGTCATAAGCTTTTACAGAGATACTTTCGATTTCGAATCTGGACGTTCTTGTGATTGTCGCAAGTAATTATCGTTCCAGTAACCCGCTGAAGATGCCATTCAGTTTGGGGACGGTGACGGCAATTTATTAGAAGTAGATTATATTCTATGTTCGTACTGGCCACCGCCAAAGGTATACCTAAACACATATTTTATTTTTTATTGCTCGGATGGGCGAACGAGCTCACGGTCCACCTGATCTTAATTGGTTACCGGAGCCCATAGACATATATAATGTAAATGCCATCATCCAACTTGAAACATGAGTTATAAGGTCTCAATTTTTATATTTTGTTTTTTACTTTTGTTGTTGTTCACTTTTTACTTTTTTACTTTTTTATATTTTATATATTGATAAAGTCGAAGATAACTATTGGCTTTCATAGATTTGATTATCAAGTCGGGTAAATATACGTGGACGATCTCATGCGACCCAACTCAACGACCCAAATCATTTTCATAAGCCACAAACTTCTATCAATATTCATAAGCATCAGTTGATGGCCACAATAAGCCCGGCTCAGCCACCCTTTTGAGGGTCTAATACGTTTTTAACTGAAAGTCAAGTTCTCTCACGCGTCCCCCACGTATCATTGGCGCTAATACAATTAATATATCCCTTATCGCACGTCGACCAGGCGCGTGGCGTGAGCTAAGTGCTGAATTAATAGTAGTGATTTTTTTAAGGGTTGCTTTACTGGTATTTTTTTGTACAGTTAGACGAGTTCGAAGCTTTAACGTCGGAGTCCAGGCAAATCTATACTAATATTATAAAGAGGAAAGATTTGTTTGTTTGTTTCGAATAGGCTCCGAAACTACTGGACCGATTTGAAAAATTCTTTTTCCATTAGAAGCCGACATTGTCCCTGATGAACATAGGCTACTTTTTTAATTTATTTTTTAATTATTTTTTTTTGGTTTCATGTGTGTTTTAATGTTTCCGAAGCGAAGCGAGGGCGGGTCGCTAGTATTCTATAAAACGAATATTGATGTGTATAATGAAATATTTCATCAGAAAAGTTATTCAAGTTCAATAGAGTAAAATGAAATGTTATGATGTCTTTTCCTAATTTCTATTATATCCTATATCCTAAAAAGTTTGATTTACATAATAGAAATACTAGGAACAAACACAAGCTTATTGTGCCGATGAGTAGGTTACATAAGATACGAAATTCATTCGGGTGTTTGTCTGTGCGCCTGTACAACAAAATCCCACAAGATGTTCAGAACCTACTTAAACATAGATTTAACAAAACTATTAAAGAACATCTGTGCAATAAAGCTTACTATAAAGTCAATGATTATCTAGAAGATTCCACAAAGTGGGAATGAGTTGCTCGCTCTGGGCAATATTGCAATAATTGTTACGTTATAATACTCATTGTAAAAATAAATATTAAAAAAAAAAAATATTTAAAAAAAAAGACATGGCCGCTGAGTTTCTTGCCAGTTCTTCTCAGGACGGAGGCTAGTTTTTGTGAATTGGCGGTAGTTCTTTTTGACGTACAACAAGTGTGTACTTTCATTTATGTTGAATATTTTTTTTTATTTGATTTGATTTGTTTATGTTTTCTGGTTACGATTCAGGAAAAAACGATTCACATGACTTCGTCTAGCCATCTTAGGTAATAGCAGTATCTAATGAATACAATGTGGCTTGTTATAACAGAGTATCTAAAAAGGTAAGTTAACAAAACACCAATTTATTAAAAAAAAAACAAATCACAACTCAGTCTTCACGTTCTTGAGTTTTCTGAACTCGCCGATTGCCTTCAGGACGTCCTTGGCGAAGATCTCCGGTAGTTCAAAGGCAAGGAAATGTCCTCCGTCTTCAATGACACTGGCATTGACCAGTTTCGGGTACTTCAGTTTGAGGATGCAGGGCGGCTGGTAGGCTAACTCGTATTTCGCCTGGAGCACCCATGTTGGGACTTGTACTTGAATCCTGTGAAGAGATAGAGCATTGAAGTGGATATACGAAAATAATGAAATGCATAATGAACATTTCACGATGCAATTTCACGTTTTGCCATTTTATGGACTAGCTCGATCACGTAGCCAGCTTCAAGAGATCATTGGCTCCCTTAACCTTTGACTTTGGAATCAACTCCACGGTATTTCGCGAGAACTATATGTCCTTGACCAGCCGATGCTCGTACATTACGGTAACCGCTCACCACATCAGGCCTGACATACGTTCATCTGATTAAGAAATGCGAACTTACTTTTACAGTTTTTACTGGTGGTAGGATTTCTTGTGAGTCCAGACGGGTAGGTACCACCGCCTTGCCTATTTGTGCCGTGAAGCAGTAATGCGTTTCGGTTTGAAGGGTGGGGCAGCCGTTACAACTATACTGAGACCTTAGAACTTATATCTCAAGGTGAGTGGCGCATTTACGTTGTAGATGTCTATGGTCTCCAGTAAGCACTTAACATCAGGTGGACTGTGAGCTCGTCCACCCATCTAAGCAATAAAAAAAACAAAACTTACTCATCTAGTTTTAAATTCAAGTGCCTAGAACTGAAAGACTCAGCATAAAGTCTCATTGAAGTGACTATTGACTTCGTGCTCCAGTATAGCATGAGATTATCGATCAGCTGATCTTTTGTCCACCGGTAGGAGAGACCTCCGTCTTCTTTACTGCGTAAGTCGGGGTTGGTCCAAGTGGAAAACTTTTCCAGGATATAGGCGAGGAGACCGGCCGGGGAGTCTGTTAATCCAATTCCTGGGAAAAAGGAAAAAGTGACAAAACTGATTTTAATACTGAAATGTAGTAAAAAGACATTGTTAACAAATCAACGTCGCGTCATACATTGATGGCTGTGATTGGCCAACGATGACGTCATATCGCACGAACCAATCACAAATCAGGAAACGCAATAGTGGCACCAATTGTCAAAATTTAAAATTATTACACGAGGAAAAAAGATGGACGCGCATGTCAATTATATTTTGTAAAATAATTAAAATAATATAATGAGAAGTTAACGCATTTATTCATTTTCTTGGCCACCTCAAGATACCTCTAAGATTACTGGTGGTAGGACCTCTTGAGAGTCCGCGCGGGTAGGTACCACCACCCTGCCTATTTCTACCGTGAAGCAGATGCGTTTCGGTTTGAAGGATGGGGCAGCAGTTGTAATTATACTGAGACCTTAGAACTTATATCTCAAGGTGGGTGGCGCATTTACGTTGTAGATGTCTATGGGCTCCAGTAACCACTTAACACCAGGTGGGCTGTGAGCTCGTCCACCCATTTAAGGAATAAAAAAAAAAATAGACGCAACAGACATTCAGGTATCCATTGAAGCCAATAAAAGGGTGTTTATCTCATCACCTCTTTCCTCTCTGTCTAAGTTCATGGTAACGACTCCTAAAGAGGTCGGCACTAATATAAAGAACGATGACAGCTGTCTCGAGCAAGATATACTTGCTCGAGGCTTGCATATAGAAAAACATAATAATGTTCAGATCCACGTCAATGCAAGCTCTACACTTAGATACATTTTATTATTTACTAGCTTTTGCCCGCGACTCTGTCCGCGTGGAATAGTTACTTTGGCATAACGCTAAATTTTATCCGCCTCTTCGTTTACGTAAAAAGTGAAAACATTTTTGAATTATAGAATGTTAAGGAGCTATTTAAACCCCTATTTTGAAACATTCTTTATTGGTGCTCCACTTGTATTGGTCTTGCCGTGATGTTATATAGCCTATAGCCTTCCTCAATAAATGGGTTATCTAACACTGAAAGATTTTTTCAAATCGGACCAGTAGTTCCTAGGATTAGAGCGTTCAAACAAACAAACTCTTCAGCTTTATAATATTAGTATAGATTTTTCTTACCAACAGTATCAGGCTTCGTGGCTTGAATATGCATGTAGCCCAATTCCTCGAGAAGGGTTGAGTATTTCTCCGATAGTGGATAAAGTCTGTTAGCTAGTTCTGGTTCGACTATCAGAGATGGGAATAAGGCACCGACAAACTCAAGGAACGTCGCCGCTGGACTAAGAGTGAGCGCCATGTTGGAGTGGAAGCCGATTATTTCCTGAAATTAATAGATTTGTATTGGTATTAAGCCGGCTAATTCACGATATCAGTGGTACACCTACAAACACTATAAATCTGGGCTCAATAGAACTGTCATTTTCAAAAACCATAGGCAAAACTGTTCTTCTCTTCCTTGCGTCGTTAACTCTCTGCTGAGGGTCGTGACCAGCATGTTTCAACAGAATTTTACTCTTTGTAATGTCCCTCCAGCGCCTCCGTTCATTGGCCACATTGTCACATTGGAAGGGCTTCGTGTAATGGGATCTCTAGTGTGATGCGGATTTGATCGAACCACCTTGTCGGACTGCGCGCACGCGGTCTATTTCCCTTGATCTTCCCTGATCTTAAAGAAGTCTAACTTGATGGTCAGATGATACGACGGCCCATAGATATAACCAAGTGAATAAATCCATTCATCTGATCTAAATAGTCAATTTTATATTGTATTGGAGCATCTGTTTCATCCCCAGAGTAAGAGAATTCTGTGAAAATAAAACTATAAATACCACAGCGCTCTAGAACTTAGATGGTTGGCCAGAGAAGGATTAAACGAAGGATATTTCTCGGCAAGAGCACTGTTCATAAACAGAAATAATTATGAAAACCCTTCAAGCCCTAAAAAAACGCATTTTAGATCCAACTGGCCTTAAGAAGATATTGGAGAGCATATTTGTACATCAGATTGTGAATGGTGGTATTTTTTTTAAGTAGTTACAGAAGTCCATAGACATCTACAACGTAAATGCGTCACCTACCTCGAGATATAAGTTCTAAGGTCTCAGTATAGTTACAACGGCTACCCAACCCTTCGAACCGAAACGCATTACTGCTACACGGCGGAAATAGGCGGGGTGGTGGTACCTATCCGTGCGAACTCCCAAGAGGTCCTACCACCAGTAAATATCCATCGCCTTTTAAAACTCGTACATTTCAATCCTTACCTTAGGGAAGAAAGTAGCCATAGCGCTACCGATGAGAGCTCCCCAATCACCTCCTTGGACGTAGTACTGCTTGTAACCAAGTCTGGCCATCAGGTTTTTGAAAATGACTGCGACTTCAGCAGCAGCGAGGCCGGGACGTACCGCCGCCTGTTAAATTATGAAGGTGTTGAATTATGAATCTTATTATGAATGTGTATGTACAAAACTAATAGATTTTTTTTTTCGTCTGGGGAAAACCCAAAATAGTCATGAGTTGATCCTTTTAGTCTATTAGTTTCTGTCGTAAAACTTCGTGGTTCCGGACAAGATGGTTACGATAGAATTATGGCTTCACTTACTGACTCAAGGTATACAACAGCACTTACGTTAGTGCCTATAATCCCCGGTAGGCTTTTAGGACCATGTCTTTGACTGCCCTTGATATCACATTACGAGAATAAATGAATATACTTCAGTAATACTTCAGAAAATGTTTATCAAATAAGTATTAGATTGGGTCATTTGGAGACCTTTTTTTTTTTTTTTTTTCGGGTAGAGGGCCGAACCTCCTACGAGGTCCCCGCGCAAAAGGGGCGCGCGGGGTATCAACGATCTGCATGGTGTTGTGAGCAGACCGCGGGCCCAAGGATTTTAGGACCCACCCACTAAACGACTCCCCTGCACTCTTACACCCGACGTCCGATCCCCTCCGAGGTCAGAACCCGGATGAGGTAGGGGGGCTACCGCGGTCAACACTACAACCAGACGGCGCGGCTCACCCCAAGGACGCCCAGCCGACGGAGCCTTCGAGGCGAATCGAAGGCTCTGAAACGTCGGCCGTCTCGGTACGGCAGCCCGTCGGGCCGCCCAGACGGTGCCGCTGGTGTCCCGGAATACCCCGCTGGACCAGAACCAGCCTGCCGGGTCGGGACGCGATACACCGTCGACCGGTCGCTCTATTCACTCCACGGCAGCGCGCTAGAGTGCTGGTAGCGCGCCGCGCGGCCTCACCCCCTCAGGTCGCCCCTTGACCTTCACCGGGGGGAGGCCGCCACCTACAGGGGCCGGGACGTACGGGCGTATTCCCGCCTCCGGCCCCCGGCTCGACGGCGACGGATCGGTGCGGAAAGGGAAGAGCTCTCCCTCTCTCGCTCCGCCGCCTCCTTCTGCGAGATGGTGGACTCGCAGAAGTCGAGCATCGCCTTCCAGGACGCGTCGCTGCCGAGCATCGTAGCCACGACGCGCGGCAGCGAGAGGTCCTCTCCTATGACCGCGACGAGGGCGGCGCGTTGCTCGTCGAATCCAGAGCAACGCGCCAATGTATGTTCCGCTGTGTCTTCCTCGTCGCGGTCCGCGCAGTGGTGGCACTGCGCCGTCGGTTCCCTTCCGGCTATCTTGAAGAGGTACCGGCCAAAACACCCATGGCCGGTCAACATCTGCGTCAGCCGGAAGGTGAGGCATCCGCGGTCGCGGCCCACCCAGTCCGCGAGAACCGGGCGGACCGCCTCGACGGTACGGAGGCCGGCCGACGGGTCCGCCAAGCGGCGAGACCACGCCTCCAGCACGGACCGCCGAGAGTGGAGCCTCCGCGCTCGAACTACTCCTTCGCCGGGGCGCCCTTCCCCCCTAGAGCGGAGGTCGCTACGCCACCGGTAATCGGCAGCGAGCGCCTCCGCCTCCAGGTCCCAGGGTGGCGCCCCGGCGAGCAAGCACGCCGCCTCGAAGGAGACGGTGCGGTATCCTCGGATCGCCCTGACCGCGATCGCGCGCTGCGGACGTCGCAGCGCGGCGACGTTCTGGCGGGTCAGGGCGTGGCACCATACGGGAGCCCCGTATAGTGCCATCGACCGCACCACCCCCATGTAGAGGCGGCGCGCCACCTGATCGGGACCCCCGACGTTTGGAAGCAGCCGGCTCAAAGAGCCGGCCGTCGCCATCAGTCGAGGGCCCAACTTCGCAAAGTGAGCGCGGAAGTTCCACCGACCATCCAGTTCAAGGCCGAGGTACCGAAGACCGGTCACCCCGACCCCGACGCGGACGCCTCCGATCACGAGGTGGGCACCCAGAGGCGGCGCTCGTCCCGGCCCGTGAAACAACAGGGCCTGGGTTTTGTCGAGCGCCACCTCGAGTCCCAGCCGTCGGATCCTTGTGACGACGTGTGCCACGCCTGCGCACGCCAGACGGGCAGACTCCCGGTAGTCCCTCCCCGGAGCCACGACCAACGTGTCGTCGGCGTAACATATTACGCTCAGCCCGGGGAGGGGACCCCGAATGACGCCCCGCAGGACCCAGTCGTAGCCGATGTTCCACAGCAGGGGGCCCAGGACAGACCCCTGCGGAACACCGCGCTCGACGGGGAAGCGGTACATCGCCCCACCGTGTCCGATGCACTGGATCGACCTGCCCTCGAGGTAGGAGCCGATCAGTCGGCGGAGGTATGCGGGGACGCCGTGATACTCCAGCGCCCCCGCGATCACCGACCAGGGCAGGGTGTTGAAGGCGTTCCTTACATCTAAGGATAACGCCATCGCCACCCCGCCCCGGGATACGGCTTCGTCGGAGAGGGCCCGCACGCGCAGAATTGCGTCGATAGTCGAGCGGCCCTCTCTGAAGCCGTATTGCTCCGCCGAAAGATCGGGACCCGTCTCGGTCAGGTGCCGGACGATGCGGGCCGCGACGATCCTCTCGAGCATCTTGCCCGCTTCGTCCAGCAACACGATGGGGCGATAGCCCGCGGGTGAGTCCGCGGGGCGCCCGTCCTTCCGCAGAAGGACCAGTCTGCCCGTCTTCCATTTCGACGGGAACCGTCCCGACTCGAGGCACGCTTCGAAAAGCCCCCCGAGCCGGTCCCCTAGGGCCTCGAAGGCCAAGCTCCAGACCCGGCCGTGAACGCCGTCAGGGCCGGGGGCCGCGTCCTTCGCTCTCATTCTGGACACGGCCGCATGGATCTCCGCCCCCGTGATAGGGGGAGGGGGCTCCTCGGCAGCGGGAACGCTGGGGCGACGCGGAGGCGTGCCCCACGTGGCGTCCATCTGGGGGGGCTCAAAGTCCCCCCCCGCTGCCGGCGGGAAAAGCGCGGAAACTATTTCCCGCAGCTGCCGAGGCTGGAGCCGCTCGGTCACCGGGAGCGCCCACGGCTGCAGTTTCCTGCGAACCATCTTGTATGGGCGCCCCCAGGGATCTTCGTCGAGCGACTCCAGGAGAGTCTTCATGCTCTGCTTCTTGGCCTCGCCGATGGCCAGCTGCAGCGCCGTCTGCTTTTGACGACAGTCAGCGTGCAGCTGGGCCGCCGTCTCCGCGAACGCAGCGTCGCGACGACGGTGGCGTGCGCTCCGGCGGCGCGCCCTTACGCACTCCTCGCGGAGTCTTGCGATCTCGGGCGACCACCAGAACGCACCCCCACGTGGTGCTCGGGGGCCGACCCGGGGCATGGCGGCATCGCAAATGTTTGCCATGGTGCCCCGGAACCAGTCGACCTCCGCATCCACGTCCGCGAGCCGCGCGGGTTTTGGCGCCCACGCAGCAACAGCGGCCGCCTCCATTCATTTGGAGACCTGATGATAGATGAAGTTAATTTTTTTTTAAAGAGCTCTAGTTTTTTATAACGGACACAAACATTGTGGGATTTACTCCCTAATACTTACGTCGGAAAAGCCATAACCAGGTAAACTTGGAGCGATAATTTCCAGAGCGAAGTTCCTATCTTTGCTGACAGCTGTGAGATGAGGAATGGCTTCGTAGAACTCCCTGACGGAGCCCGGCCATCCGTGGAGTAACAGCAGTGGTACTATTTCAACACCTTTAGGGACCTGTACAGAAGAATGCTTTTACTTCATTAAAGTTTTGGAAGATGATAATATTGTTGGAAGAAAATGAAAATACAAAGTAGCAACGCTGTGACCGCCTATTTAAGGAGTAGTGTTGGCTTTTCCATTAACAGTGCTCTTAGGCATCACAAGCACCGGTCACCGTCCTCGTCGAACCCGTCGCTTGCGACGAAGGGCTCGACTAGCGAATTAACCCATAGACACAGCCCACTGAGTTTCTCGCCGGATCTTCTCAGTGGGTCGCGTTTCCGATCCGGTGGTAGATTCTGCGAAGCACTGCTCTTGCTAGGGTCAGTGTTAGCAACTCTCCGGCTTGAGCCCCGTGAGCTCACCTACACACGCTAGGGTAAGCTGAAATAGCCTCTCAAGGCTATCAGCATAGGTAGGAAAAAAAAAGTGCTCGCTCAGTTACCCCCCAGCTGTCGTAGCGTGCGGAAGCTCTGTCCGAACTCTCTCTTCATATTACTGTCTAATAAGGCCAGCCATTTAATAAATTGTTTTTAAAAACGAAAAATTCGTTTCTGTTTATTACAATATATTTTGGCAAAGATTATAGCTTTCTCAAATAACTGGCATACCAGCTTTTAAATTTCTTAGTTAATTGCGAACAGTACTAACCTTTGGAGTAATCCTCATGAAGTGAATATTCAAACCCTGGATATTAGTCTTGAAATGAGGATATTGGTTAAGGAACTTCTGCCTTTCAGCGAATGGGTATTCTTCTGCCCAATATTTGAGCCAACTGTCCAATTGTTTCGAATTGAACCCGTATTTGAAGCCAACACCCTCCAATGGAGGGGCGAAAGGTCTTCGTTTCTTGATGCGTTCTTTTAGTTCTTTTACCATCTAAAAAAATGGTGATAGTTGCATTAAGAAGACTAATTTCGTATGAAATTATGACCAAAAATGTAGCCTTATGGAATTTAGAGAAAGTTTTGCCAAACTTGAGGCAGTTTTTTTGAACTACTCTTCTCTATATATTTAGTAAATTAAAAAATTATAGCAATTTACTTCAGAAAGTCTACTTTTCTTTTTGGTATTATTATACACAGATCTGTGATTCATTGGAAAATTATATTCTAGTACATTCGTGAAAATTTCAGTGTTCCCATTCTTCCTAATCGAAAAATAGATCATTCTTTATTTGGTTAAAAACTGTGGACCAATTTTCCTAACACGTTTTTTTTTAATATTTTCTCTTTCGAATTTTTTATACTCTTGATAATTTTTGATGATTTTTGTATACGTACACATATATATCTGATTAAATTTTCCAATATTGGCTATTTGGTTGTTGTTTAACTATTTTTAATATACTGTATGGATATTTTGTAGTCCTAGTTTTCCCTAATAAATAACGCTACTAACAAAACATTTCATATTTAGAGGAAACTTGCTTTGATGTTCAAGACGGGCACGCCTTATATATCACGTCTCTAAAAAGGTAAAGAAGAATAGTAATGTATGTTTGATAAGTCACTTTTAAACACATTGCGACCTACATTGTAACCAACTAACTAAATTCGAATTTAATTTAACTAGTGGTCCCGCAGTAGTCGAAATTCGACTATAATTAATTGGAATTGTAAGTTTGTACACTATTATGATTGTATTTTATACTTCTATAATCACAAATTTCGCCAAGACTACACTATAGAAAATATTAACAAAGACAAACCATATTTAATCTATTCTCAATTTGACAACAGACGTCAAGAACAAAAGTTTGACAATAAATAGTATGCATGCGTGTGTGTGTGCGTCAAATACATGGTATGTAGTGTGTGTAATGTTTTCTTTCTTGATTTAATGTATCTTTTATGCATTATTTAAAAAAAATATTAGCATTGTGCACTTCCTCTCTACATTCTCTATAAGCGTGGAAAATTTCATACTCCTCCGTCCGCGCAATTTTCGTGAAAAGGGATACAAAGTTGTTGCTTCACGTATTAATATATAGTTTCTAATTATTGTCGTCTCGATTTTTAAATTTGACAAGTAAACGTAATATATCTAGATTACTACATTGTGTGATCCTATAAAATTGATACTGAAACAGCGTTGGATCTGAAAGACTTTTAACTGATACTATAATGGTATTTTTAATAGGTGCTCTTCCCAAAAACAACAATTAAACCAACCGTCTCACTGAAAGTGATCTCGAAGGGTTTGATGCTGGTATCCTGTTTCTGCTTAAGTTCGGGCGGTCCCCACCACTCCTCCAGGTCTAGCTTAGGCATCGGCGGTGGACTCTTCAGAACGAGGAGGTACAATGGTATGGACGCCAGCACTAGCAGCGGCAAGACGATAAGCAGAAGACGTGACATCTGTAACAAGAGCATCGGGATTAGTTAACAAAATACGTCTAATATTTGAGATGGTCGATGTTAGGGTGAACATATAAGTCAAGTCAAATAGTCAAGAAGAACTTTTGAGACGAAGTTCCTTATGGGACGATACGGAGGGTACCCTAACCGGAAAAAAACGTCCGTAACGTAAGATTTTTATTAGTAATGCACACAGTGTACGACTTAACTTTGTAATAACGTACAAAAAATAACATATTTTTATTATAATTTTTTTATAAATCATTGTGAATAAAATAAAGTTGACAACTTTGTAAAGTAGTTTTATTTTTTATTTTTATCAATAAAGCAATCATTACAAAAATTATAATACCCGAATAATTATTTTCTTTATACCTCGAATGGAACTTAAAATTAATATTTTTATATTAAGGAACTTCGTTCCTATTCGGTGTCCCACGACACCACACACCTTTTTTTTTAAAGAATGAGGGTTACTTGTGGCCCAGTGGCTTCTCCCAGGACAGGTGGGCGAGCAAAGACTCAACCAGGAGAAGAATAAGTCTAAAGCGTGGATTAGCAAGTGATTCCGTACACTCTCTGACGCGGATTTCATTCGATCTGTTCATCATTTGTCAAGGGGAAACTCTGCTTCGGCTGATGCCAATAAATGATTTTAACGGTGCTTTTAGGTACCTCAAGCACCGGTCATCGTTTTCGTCGAACCCGTCGCTTGCGACGAAGAGCTCGACGAGTTAATTAACCCTCAGACACAGCCCACTGAGTTTCTTGCTGGATCTTCTCAGTGGGTCGGTGGTAGATTCTGCGAAGCACGGCTCTTGCTAGGGTTCGTGTTAGCAACGTCGTCAGGTTTGAGCCTCGTGAGCTCACCTACTAGTTAAGGTTACGCTGAAATAGCCTCTCAAGGCTCTCAGCTTAGGTAACAATAAAAAAAAATGATTTTAATAGTAAACTCTATTTTTACAACGGGACGTATTACATTTTTATTTGTGCTTCATATTTTTCAAAACTTACGTTTTCGTTGCTACAGACGACAATGGTAAATAAATTTTATCGTAATTTGAATAACGCGTTCACTAAGTACTGTTTGACATTGAATATCATTATAACGTAGCTTATTGTTCTTTGTACACAAAAACAAGTCAGACTTGAGGTTATAATTATAGAATTCCAAGGGTTTTGATAAATTATAATCCAATAAACGTGCTGTTTACGTATTTATCTCTAAATCGCTTGGCGTACGATACTTCGAACAATTTAATACGATTTTTGGTTATATTTTAAAGTTAAAAAGAAATTCGGTTACAAAATTACTGATGCTGTACTGGGCTCCAGTAACCACTTAACGCCAGGTAGGGTGTGAGCTCGTCCACCAATCTAAGCAATAAAAACAAACCTGGTGTTAAGTGGTTACTGGAGTCTATAGACATCTACAACGTAAATGCGCCACCCACCTTGAGATATAAGTTGTAAGATCTCAGTATAGTTACAACGGCTGCCCCACCCTTCAAACCGAAACGCATTAGAAGACTTCAGATTAAATGCAAAATTTTTCCACGCATCAAGGTATAGTGTAAAATATTTCTTTGTTCTGTTCATAAAATCACAGATTCGCGTATAGAAAAACTGATCAAATTTATTTGTATTCAGATATTTTTTTTCTCTAAGTACCTACCGGTAATTTTTGTTTATACTGTGACATTAGCAAAATCAATGCCGGCTTTGGAGTTAGTTATTAACAAAAAAGGAATCATGACGATACAATATTTTTATGACTTCGCTCCAAGATCTTGATCAGTATCAAAAGCATAAAATTGTTATATTAATTACGTTTGTAATTTAAGGATGTATCTTTTTATCTTTTAAGCTAGATATGATTTATTGCTGGAAGGTACCATATTATGTATTTTTCTGTACCAAAGGAAAAACAAAATTGTTATTTTTATTTAATTCCGAGCATTTTCATATTTCTATAGGTACATTTTAAGCCTTCTCTGGACTTTCACAAATAATTCAAGACCAAAATTAGCCAGATCGGTCCAGCCGTTCTCGAGTTTTAGCGAGACTAACGAACAGCAATTCATTTTTATATTACATAGATTTTTACTTCACTGTGGAGTCATTCGTGAAACATGCATCACTGAGCACTGATTAAAGATCTAATCAGAACAGTTACTGTGTAGAGCACAATTTCTATAGCATGCGGTTCTGTTATTAACATGGTCACTGACTGCCTAATGAGCCTTCGCTGTTAACTTAACTTAATAACTGTCCCATTCAGATTCAGTTAGGCTTATGGGCCTTTTAAAAGACTATAATCTAAATAAATGTTATTCGGAATTACATTATCAGAAATAACTGTTTTGCTGTTTTCTTATAACGGACTAGCGACCCGCCCTCGCTTCGCTTCGGAAACATTAAAACCACTGAAGTAGGAAACCTATGGAAATGAAACGTCAACAAAATTCGTGCCACTGTGACGTCATCTGGCCACAAAACATGGCGGTTTTAGTGCTGCCCAGAAGATTTTAATGTTAGTAGGTTTTATCGATAAACGTTCTTGGCTTATTTTATTTTAAATATTGTTGAGTATGAATGTATTTGTAGAATTTATACTTTAATAGGAATTAAGTATATTGTTATGTGCAAAGATGATGTGATTTAGATATTATGTGAAATCTAAGACGAGTTCGTGCTTCAAATTTTCCAAGTAAACGATATGACGATTTTTAAAATTTGCTACACTGATTTTATAAAGTTGTCGTTTGCCGCAAAACATAAAGATATGGCATAGTACAGTGCCATCAGCNTGTCTTAATATATTTTAGCTTACGCTGCATCACAGCTTTTCATCTCTCTTGTAGACTAAATCGTCTCTTCTGTGGTCCGCAAAAATATAAAAATTGCGATTATGCTAAAAATAAGACATATTGATCTCGGTTACAGTGATTAAAAGATTGATAATCAATAGCTAAATAATAAATAGTTTGTTTCACACTGATCTGAGATATTTTTTTTGCTGCACTTTTTTATTCTCTATTTGTGTATGACCCTTATACTGTGATATTGACAAAATCAATGCCGGCTTTGGAGTTAGTTATTAAAAAAAAAGACTCATGACGATACAATATTTTTATGACTTCGCTCCAAGATCTTGATCAGTATCAAAAGCATAAAATTGTTATATTAGTTACGTTTGTAATTTAAGGATATATCTTTTAATCTTTTAAGCTAGATATCATTTATTGCTGGAAGGTACCATATTATGTATTTTTCTGTACCAAAGGAAAAACAAAATTGTAATTTTTGTTTAATTCCGAGCATTTTCATATTTCTATAGGTACATTTTAAGCCTTCTCTGGACTTCCACAAGTAATTCAAGACCAAAATTAGCCAAATCGGTCCAGCCGTTCGCGAGTTTTAGCGAGACTAACGAACAGCAATTCATTTTTATATACATAGACTTTTACTTCACTGTGGAGTCATTCGTGAAACATGCATCACTGAGCAATGATTAAAGATCTAATCAGAACAGTTGCTGTGTAGAGCACAATTTCTATAGCATGCGGTTCTGTTATTAACATGGTCACTGACTGCCTAATGAGCCTTCGCTGCTAACTTAACTTAATAACTGTCCAATTCAGATTTAGTTAGGCTTATGGACCTTTTAAAAGACTTTTGGGGAAGCTTAACGACAGAGGGAAGATCTTCCACCGAGCGGGTGATATTGCTCGGTAGACCGACGGTCCGGCTGTTGTTCGGAACTTGTATATATGCGCTTTATCTTGAAAATGTCATAAGCGAGATTCAGGCATCTGTCAATTATCTTACGTTGTATGATGGCTACCCGCCACAGACTAACTAAATAAATGTTATGCGGAATAACATTATGAGAAATAACTGTTTTGCTGTTTTCTTATAACGGACTATAGGACTATAAACCTTTTAAAGTTCACAGTTATCTTGTAGCAGTAATTGACCCTGTCGATGATTTTTTAATTTTGGTAAATACTTTGTATAATAGCTATACGACTGATTTTATGCTTCGTTTGACTTTAGAAGTAATGATTGATAACCATCAGACAATACTGTTATGGTCTGTTAGAAGTCTTCCTACCGTGACCCAAAACAGAAGCCATCACACAGAGTCAAGATCAGGATATTATACGTTCTAAATTTGGACATGAAATTCGTTATTAAATGTTTTTGTGCTACTAAAATTAACCGCGGTTTTCTTTGTCACGCTCACGCGTTTGAGTAGGCTCATTGGTGCGAGTGAGATGGACGACGGAACGGACATTGACAGCAAGATATTCCCGTTACAAAAACGTCAGAGATATACCAAGAGAGTGTCGACCTTTGTTCAAGAACTTGCCGCGAAAGATAAACATTTTGAGTCCGAAATGATAAGACGTCCGGTGCATTCGTATGTAGCGATGCACCGGTGTTCGAATCCCGCAGGCGGGTACCTATTTTTCCAATGAAATACGTACTTAGTAAATGTTCACGATTGCCTTCCACGGTGAAGGAATAACATCGTGTATAAAAATCAAAGCCGCTTAAATTATAATTTGCCTAATTACTGATGGTAGGTTGTCTTGTGGGTCCGCACGGGTAGGTACCGCTGCCTTGCCTATTTCTGCCGTGAAGCAGTAATGCGTTTCGGCTTAAAGGGTGGAGCAGCCGTTGTTCTGTAAAAACTGAGACTAAGAATGAATGTCTCAAAATGGGTGGCGGCATTGATGTGGTTGATGGGCTTCGGTGACCACTTAATACCAGGTGGGCCGTGAGCTAGTTCACTTCGACATAAAAATAGTACACCGTGAAGCACAAGACACAGAAAATAGAACAAATAAAACTTCTCCTTACGTAGTTTTAAAAGGGAAGCAAGTGCTTACAGTTGACCTTTTGTCAGCGAATTAACTGTTTTGACATTGTTACTGAATTCACTGTATAAAAAACAGCTTGAGCCTAAACTCAATCGCATTCAAAAGTGCTTTAAAAAAAACTACTAGGCTATTTAATACAAAATCCATTTGCCATTTACAAAGACAACAAAAAAACTACACTGCTTTGGTCTAAAAAATATAGCCATTATAATCTAAATTATTTCTTTTTGCTTCTAAAGAGTTTCGTATATTTTAATGCGATTTGAGTATGAAATAAAAAGAAAAAAAAAAACATTAAAATAAGCACTAACCTTGATGCACAATTAAGCACACACTGACAGCTTTATCATTTAATTTTGATAATTAATCGTTATCAAAACGCCACGTGTGCCCACCGCTGTGGTGTGTTACGGACTAACACAACGCTATCTGTTAAAAAGTTATGTAATCTGAATTTCGAGTGAGACCTGATGGAATCTTACGTTGGGGTCCCTAAAGCACAATTTGCTTTGAACGTGCATTGTTTTGAAGACACGCGTTCCGGTATGAACTCCGTCATGGTCAATAGGTAACAGGCCAGTATGTGGTGATGTGAAATAATATACATTCGCGCCTGCACTTAGGTTTTAGGACGAAGATACGTGTATTCTTTGCATGTTTTATGAAAAGGCTCACAATTATTAAACATTTCTGGTGGATAATTGTCGCTTGTCAATTCCTCTTCTTTTTTCTACCTATGCTGATAGCCTTGGGAGGCTATTTCAGCTTCTCCTCGACGTGTAGGTGAGCTCACGGGGCTCAAATCGAAGTGTTGCTAACCCTGGCCCTAGCAAGAGCAGTGCTTCGCAGAATCTACCACCGGATCGGAAACGCGACCCACTGAAAAGATCCGGCGAGAAACTCAGTGGGCTGTGTCTATGGGTTAATTCACTCGTCAAGCCCTTCGTCACAAGCGACGGGTTCGACGAGGACGGTGACCGGTGCTTGTGATACTTAAAAGCACCGTTAACCGTTTTACTGGTGGTAGGACATGTTGTGAGTCCGCACGGGTAGGTACCACCACCCTGGCTATTTCTGCCGTGAAGCAGTAATGCGTTTCGGTTTGAAGGGTAGGGCAGCCGTTGTAACTATATTTGAGACCTTAGAACTTATATCTCAAGGTGGGTGGCGCATTGACGTTGTAGATGTCTATGGGCTCCAGTAACCACTTAACACCAGGTGGGCTGTGAGCTCGCCCACCCATCTAAGCAATAAATAAATAAATAATGGATCGGGAGGATCCGTAATGACGTGTTTTGGGCGACGTCGACTGTTTACCATTCGGTCTACAGTAAGCTCCTTAAGAATAGCTCGTTTCTACTGTGAAGCAGTCATAAGTTCTAGTAACAAGTCTGGTGCAGCCGTTATACTAATCTTCGTTCTCATTGTGATGTTCTACGTGCTCCAATAGCCACTTAACATTCCGTGGACCGAGCGCTCATTTATCCATCGATGTAATTGAAAACAATTGAAGCTACATTGCGGAGTGGGGGGTTCGCGGGATTTAATAAAATGCACGACTTAGTTGCACAACGCTATATTTCAGACTGTCCTACTATTAACTTACACTCTACAACATTTATTTACTAAGGCAAGCACAAACACGCAATGTATTACGGAGGTAGCTAGAAAAGGTTTGCACAAGTCCCTCGACTTCTGCGTCAGTGGATTTTGAATAGTAATAGACGCGGGCGAAAGACCTTAGTGAATACAATATTTTCGAAGTCGTCGTGGCCTAAGAGATAAGACGTCCGGTGCATTCGTGTTGAGCGATGCACCTGTGTTCGAATCCCAGGCGGGTACCAATTTTTCTAATGAATTATGTACGTACTCAACAAATGTTCACGATTGACTTCCACGGTGAAGGAATAACATCGTGTAATAAAAGTGAAACCCGCAAAATTATAATTTGCGTAATTACTGGTGGTAGGACCTCTTGTGAGTCCGCGCGGGTAGGTACCACCGCCCTGCCTATTTCTGCCGTGAAGCAGTAATGCGTTTCGGTTTGAAGGGTGGGGTAGCCGTTGTAACTATACTGAGATCTTAGACCTTTATATCTCAAGGTGGGTGGCGCATTTACGTTGTAGATGTCCATGGGCTCCAGTAACCATTTAACATCAGGTGGGCTGTGAGCTCGTCCACCCATCTAAGCAATAAAAAAAATAAAAAAAATACAATAATTTGATCGCAATGTTGTCAAGCTGCTCATATTTCTATTTAAGCTGACCGTCTACAATATGTGCATATTGTGAACGTTTATATGTTCCGATCAGCTTCCGATATATCGTTCGCCGACACCCTGAGTCTACTTCATAGAAATTAAGGCAAATAAAAATCGGCATCGCGAAATCAAACCCAGTCTAGACGAAAACTTTTTATTAAAAAAATCGGTTGTCTGTAAAGTCGGTTTACTGACGACAGTTGAACGTGACAACGTCATAAGAAAATACTGATGAATGGGTTAAATTTTTCAATTATCGCAATTATCGTTGCTATAAACAATTGACACCACATTCACTTTTCACTGAACTTCATACTTGACGAAAACATGTAAATATGTATTATTGTATAGCAGCTGTCCACGCGGATGCATCGCTCGCTCAAGTAGGAGAGAGACAGATGTCGAACGCTGCCGAACGCGGAGGCCGATTGTGCCTCTTTGTCGCTCGTTGCGCGCTCTCGCTTGCACTTCAAGCCTTAAATGGAACGCCTCAATGAGTCATGCTTTTTCGTGCGTGCAGCCGGCTCCATCGAATTATAAGACGTTGTCACGTCAAAAACTAATGATCAGTCTTGGAATGAGTAGAACGCCACTGCTTGAACGCGTGAACCGCCTTGAAAACGTCTTCCGCGAACACCTCAGGAAGTTCCAAAGCCAAGAAATGTCCGCCGTCGTCTAAAACCGTCACGTTGAGGAGATTCAGGTACTTCGCACGTAAAACTGCAGGCGGCTGATAGACCAGCTCGTCTCTGGCCTGGAGAGCCCACGTGGGAACGGGTGATGTAAAACTACAGAGGAAATTCAATTTTGACGAAAAACTCGTTTACTTTTTATTGCTTAGATGGGTGGACGAGCTCACAGCCCACCAGGTGGTAAGTGGTTACTGGAGCCGTAAATGCGCCACCCACCTTGAGATATAAGTTCTAAGGTCTCAGTATAGTTACAACGGCTGCCACACCCTTCAAACCGAAACGCATTACTGCTTCACGGCAGAAATAAGCAGGGCGGTGGTACCTACCCGCGCGGACTCACAAGAGGTCCTACCACCAGTAATTACGCAAATTATAATTTTTGCAGGTTTGATTTTTATTACACGATGTTATTCCTTCACCGTGGAAGTCAATCGTGAACATCTGTTGAGTACATATTTCATTAGAAAAATTGGTACCCGCCTGCGGGATTCGAACACCGGTGCATCGCTTCAACACGAATGCACCGGACGTCTTATCCTTTAGGCCACGACGTCTTCTAAAGTACAGATATTTAGATCCTCAGTTCGTCTAACGATACTCAAGGTTCTTCCATTTGACTCCATACATAAGAGGGCCGTTCGGATTGTTGATATTCACATTCTCACGGATCGTTTGGAACCTCTGGGTCTGCGGAGGGACTTCGGTTCCCTCTGTGTTTTGTACCGTATGTTCCATAGGGAGGGCTCTGAGGAATTGTTCGAGATGGTACCGAGATGTCGTTTTTACCATCGCACCGCCCACCACCGAAGTAGAGTTCATCCATTCTATCTGGAGTTGGATTGCGTTCATCCACAGTGCGTTTCCAGAGTCCTTTTTTGCCACGTACCATCCGGCTATGGAATGAGCTCCCCTCCACGGTGTTTCCTGAGCGCTATGACATATCCTTCTTCAAACGAGGCTTGTGGAGAGTATTAAGCGGTAGGTAGCGGCTTGACTCTGCTCCTGGCATTGCTGAAGTCCATAGGCAACGGTTACCACTCACCATCAGGTGGGCCGTATGCTCGTCTGTCTACAAGGGCAATAAAAAAAGGTTATACTTACGCTTCCAAATTCATTTCCCTGAATTTGTTACTCATGTTTTCGGAATAGAATCTCATTGAGCTTGTAATAGAGTTGGTAATCCAGTAGACCATTAGATTATCTATCAGCTTTTCCTTGCTAAACCTGAAGCCGAGACCGCCGTCACTCTTAAACTTGTGCTCCTTGCGCGTCCAAACCGCGAATTTCTCTAAAATATACGCTAGAAGACCTGATGGAGAATCCGTCAGGGAAACACCTTGAAGGGAATAAAAAAATAATATTTTTATTGGTTTTTTTTTTTTGATTTGATAGGTAGACGAGCTCACAGCCCACCTGGTGTTAAGTGGTTACTGGAACCCATAGACATCTACGACGTAAATGCGCCACCCACCTTGAGATATAAGCTCTAAGGTCTCAGTATAGTTACAACGGCTGCCCCACCCTTCAAACCGAAACGCATTACTGGTTAACGGCAGAAATAGGTAGGGTGGTGGTTTGTATTTCAGTTTTTTTTTAGAAAAAAAAAACATAACATTTTGTTAGTAAGAATTGCTTATAACCTATGTTAGTAACTTAAAAATCTAACACATAACTATCAGACAAACATTATACTATATCATTACAATTTTTTTCTGCTGCAAAGGCTATTAATCAGCAGGCCCTTGTCGCCAGCATCTTGCTCGATATGATGTTCAGAAGATTTTTGCCACTGTCACACACTCGACGCAATAACGATGCACTTCTCTTTCGCATTATTGCAAAGAAGTCATCTGTGTGAGATGTCGCAAACATTGTGGATGCACTACAAAAACGCGGCAGTGACAACATCATCCTAAACGCATCATTATATTGAACACGTAAGACCCCGCGTATATGTGGTCCACAGACCATTGAACACTTCCAACGTCTGTAATTAAATATAGTGCTCACTTCACAACTCTGCGGGGCTTTTTGCATCATACCTTGGTGCAAAATAGTAAGTGCTGGTCGCGACCTCTGACGTGAGGAATATGACTCGAGGCGGAGGATCGTGGTTTGCTGACTTAGGAAATTTAAGGAATGAGTCTCCCAATTTTTTTTTTCAACAGCAAGTAATACTTACCTACTGTATCAGGCTTTGTGGCTTGTAAGTGAAAGTATCCGAATTCTTCCAACAAGTACGCCAGATGTTTTGAAAGTGGATACATTCTTTCGGCTAGATGATCTTCCACTATTAGTGACGGTATTAAAGCACCAAGCAGAGTTCTGAGCAGGGCGTGAGGATGCTGTGAATGTTTCACTCTTTTTTTCCTACCTAAGCTGATGGTCTTGAGAGACCTGAGGTCTTGACCATACCAGCGTAGGTGTGCTCACGGGGCTTAAACCTGACGTTGTTGCTAACACGAACCCTAGCAAGAGCCGTGCTTCGCAGAATCTACCACCGGATCGGAAACGCGACCCAGTCAGAAGATCCGGCGAGAAACTCAGTGAGCTGTGTCTGTGGGTTATTTTACACGCCGAGCCCTTCGTCTCAAGCGACGGGTTCGACGAAAACGATGACCGGACGTTTCACAGGAAGCTAGATACTTATTAATAAACCGAATTTTATTGGAATATGAAAATTCATATCATTAAAAAGGAAAACAAAAAATCGCTAATCCTGTTTATCCTTGTAAAATATTGAATTGTCGTCGGTCCTTAATAATTATGCCAAATTTCAAGTTAAGCCGACGTTTTGAAGGGGCTTAAAATCATGTTCAAAGATTTCCGTCACATACTACATAGATACTAATATACGTACGTATGAAGCTAATAAAAGCGTATTAAAACCAGTTTGAATATTCTAATTATACCTGTGTAACAGCTGAATTACTGTGATGTCCAAGAACATCTTCAGGGAATAGGGTAACCATGGCCGAGGCAATGGCTGCGCCCCAATCTCCCCCTTGTATGTAAAATTTATCATGACCCAATCTTTTCATTAATATTCTGAAGATATCTGCTACGTACGGCAAAGATAAGCCTGGTCTCACTGCAGCCTGAAAATATACAGATTCGGGAAGACCACGAAGAAAGTATAGTAAATTATTTATTGAAGTGAAAACTTTTTTAGAATCGTTGTGATTTCAAACCGGATGCAACGGAAAAAACGACAGGTAAGAGACACAAATACAAAAATGTGTAGGATGAAGCCAGCAAAGAATATACATACTATTAAATACAGCGCCATCTGTGAGATTTTTTAATACTAACGTGTGTATGAAAGCTCTTGTAGTGAATTTTAATTTAGGATTATACGTGAAATTAAAATATCAATTCACAGAGGGCGCTACCTTACAATTATTTACTAATGACAACATTTTACATATACTTAAGACGTTTAGGATAATTGTATTTTAATTTTGGAAGGTTTCACTTCTACCACNAATGAGACAGAAATATACATACTATTTAATACAGCGCCATCTGTGAGATTTTTTAATACTAACGTGTGTATGAAAGCTCTTGTAGTGAATTTTAATTTAGGATTATACGTGAAATTAAAATATCAATTCACAGAGGGCGCTACCTTACAATTATTTACTAATGAAAATTTTTTACATATACTTAAGACGTTTAGGATAAGTGTATTTTAATTTTGGAAGGTTTCACTTCTACCACGTGTGAATTGCACACATGTAATTTTATTTATTTATTTATAACTTCATATACTAGAAAGTATAAAGGCAGACTTAATGCCAAAGGCATTCTCTAACAGTCTACCTTAGGGGAGTGCAGAGTGAACCTTGGTAGATGTAGTGTGAAGGTGATATTACTTAAACATATATTTATATAATTATTTGGGTGTTGTGTCCCAATAGCAAGAGAGAATTAATCTTGTGATGGTCTTTGTAGCAGCGTATCTTTCAAGAGTCGTTTGATGAGGGCATCTCGAACTCAATATTAAGCTGTCACCTCGGAGAGACTAAGTTTATGGTAAAAAACATATTAATAATGTTGAATAATCGATAGCTACCCTTTTACTTATAATTTGAAAACAATGACTTGATTTAATCAGTTCCCGACTTCTCTTCTTAAGTTTTTATTTTTTATTTTTTTATTGCTTAATTGTGTGGACGAGCGCACAGTCCACCTGGTGTTAAGTGGTTACCGGAGCCCATAGACATCTACAACATAAATGGCGCCACCCACCTTGAGATATGAGTTCTAAGGTCTCAGTATAGTTACAGCGGCTGCCCCACCCTTCAAACCGAAACGCATCACTGCTTCACGGCAGAAATAGGTAAGGTACCTAACCGCGCGGACACACAAGAGGTCCTATCACCAGTAAAAAATAACTAAACTAACTTTATGTATAAACTAACTCGAAATCCGAAGCTACATTCTTACAGACTTACATCAGAAAAACCATATCCGGGTAGACTCGGGACTATGACTTCAAAGGCAAAATCATACCCAGAATTTTGACTGGTCAGCAGGGGGATGGCTTCGTAGAACTCCCTGACGGAACCTGGCCAGCCATGTAATAGAAGAAGGGGCAGAGTCTGGACTCCTGCAGATACCTGGAATATTAATAAATTCCTGCAACAGGATCCGATTACTAATTGTTGCTCTGGTCCTTTGTTCTTCACAGTGCTCAGCTGTTCATTTCAGATCTTTGGAAAATTTGCTAATGCACAACTCTGTGACTTAGCCTACGTAGACATATTTTAGGAGGAATGGGGTTAGGCCTTCTCTTCTTTATATCTTTACCAGTTATCAACGGAGTTGTACTCGCCAGTTTTACTTGGAACGACCTAGTACAAGTACCATGCTATAGCTTTAGTGGGTAGATATAATGGTATATGTAGGACTTTATAGTATGGACACTGCTTTATGCATGTTTTCAAATCGAATTAAATACTTATATGCAATTAAAAAAGATTCCGAATAACAGAATCAAGAGGGCGAGTAAGTAATCAGGAGGTACACAAAGCAAACGTCATCCATGGCATTAACAGCGTCAATGCATTATGAACAACAAGCAATTGTGAGCACTTTAGAACACATAATTGATTGAACGTTAATAAGATCAGCGGTTTGTGCACGCGGTATCACACCATTGATATACTTCTATAGATACCACTACTAACCTGAGGCTTAACTCTGATGAAATGAATATCCAGGCCCTTGATGCTGGTCTTGAAATGTGGAAACTGATTAAAGAACTTTTCTCGGTCAGCAAATTTATACTCTTCGGCCCAGTATTTCAGCCAGGGTTCTAGGGCAGCCGTGTTGAAGCCGTATTCGAAGGTCACACCCTCTAGTGGCGGGGCGAAGGGTCGATGATTTTTGAGGCGATATTTCAAATCGTCGATTACCTGAAAAATAACTCCATCAGTAAGTATCTTCAGTTGGCACCGATGCGCCACTTCGACAAAGCGGCACAACACGAGAACCGTCTCATCGTGGCCGCCGGTAACTACATTCCCGATCCTGCGGACAGAATGGAAAGCAGTCGACGTTTTTTTTTATTGGTTAGATGTGTGGACGAGCTCACAGCCCACCTGGTGTTAAGTGGTTACTGGAGCCCATAGACATCTACAACGTAAATGCGCCACCCACCTTGAGATATAAGTTCTAAAGTCTCAAGTATAGTTACAACGGCTGCCCCACCCTTCAAACCGAAACGCATTACTGCTTCACGGCAGAAATAGGCGGGGTGGTGGTACCTACCCGTGCGGACTCACAAGAGGTCCTACCACCGGTAAAAAAAATACGGCCATCAATATCGACTTACGAACCTTCTTTTCGAATTTAATTTCAAAGGGCCTTATGCTAATGTCTTCTCTGCCTTTCAGCTCGATCGGTCCCCACCACGCGTTGGGATCCAGCTGTGGTGGTTTCGAAGGCTGCAGCCAGTTAAAAATGTACCAAAATGCCACAGCTATAGCCGCTACAGCTAGAACTGTGGTGAATCGAGACATCTGAAAACATTAGAAGTTCAGTTAATTTTTACTACTGGTGATTCCGATCTGGTGGTAGATTCAGCGAAGCACTGCTGTTCCTAAGGTATTGTCAGCAAACTCTCAGGTTAAGTCTGTAAGCTTACCGGCAAATAGGTAGGGACAAAAATTGTTACTGCCATAGACGGATAGAGCTTTTAGCCGGTCTGGTCATCACTTGTTATCACTAACGTCCCTGGCTGCAGGGAAGAGGTTAGTGGGTTTGATTCCTGGACAACTTCTGAACTAATCGATAGAAACATACAACTATACATACAACATACAAGGATTGTATTCGCATGTGGGGTGTGTAATATTTGTCATCTGTCTTATATATATAAAAATGAATTGCTGTTCGTTAGTCCCGCTAAAACTCGAGAACGGCTGGACCGATTTGACTAATTTTGTTCTTGAATTATTTGTGGAAGTCCAGAGATGGTTTAAAAGGTAGATAAATATGAAATTTCTCGGAATTAAATAAAAATAACAATTTTGTTTTTCCTTTGATGTGTCCCCCGTCGGACGGATTCCTTTTGTTTGTTTTAAGTTTATTTTATACAAAAGTTTAGGTCTTTTATTTATCGATTGAGGCACTACGAAGTCTGCCGGGTCAGCTAGTATTTGATAAAAACGTGGATTTTATATTATTATTTTATGATATCTTAATAACATGTTTGTTGTATGTTATGTGCACATTACCCAAATTACTCTCTACACTCCCTTTGGTTGACTGGTAGATAATGTTTTAATGAAATGACAATGTTATTAATTCCGCCACTGTTTACCTTTGTGTATAAACTGAAATACGTAAATACGTCTTCAACACTAAACACTTCTGAGGTTTATCTATACCAATAAATAAAATTGAAGTGTCTGTTTGTAATATTCAAATAGCCGCTTTTTTACTACTAACTATACTTAAGACCTTAGAACTTAGATATACCTTGAGGTGGGTGGCGCATTTACGTCGTAAATGTCTATGGGCTCCAGTAACCATTTAACACCAGGGCGGTGAGCTCGTCCACCCATCTAAGCAATAAAAAAACAAAAAAACATGCATATGAATGTATATACGGTACATTTACCAAAATATTAAATAACATTTTTTACAATTTTGATCTGTTTGTCCCGTCTAATCCCTGGAAAGGCTGGACCGATTTTGACAAGACTTTCACCGATAGCTGATTTTTTTATTGCCTTTGTAAGCAGACGAGCATACGGCCCACCTCATGGTGAGCGGTCACTGTCGCCCATAGACTTCGGCAATGCCTTAAGGGGCAGAGCCAAGGCACTGCCTACCGATTGTAACAAGCTATGTAATAAGGAGCAACTTAAACTTAACTTCTATATTGTGAAATTCCATGTTGACGAAGTCGCGGGTATAGCTAGTATAATAATAAAATTTGACTTACCACACTTTGAGTTTTTGTTTTCTACAAACATCAACTACCACACGAATATGAAAAATAACCTTCACGAATACTACAAAAACACTCATAAGCAGTCGGTAATCGTAGGTTCGTTTATATCATACGACAATGATTTTCTACTTATCTAGAGATAAAGAACCGGATATGAAATTTTAATTTAAGATAAGAAATAACGCGGCTCTGTCTGGCGATTTGTTATCATTAGCCCTAACATGAGCAGTACTTCGGATCTACCACCGGATCGGAAACGCGACCCACTGAGAAGATACGACGAGAAACTTAGTGGACTTAACTTTAGCGGCCGTCTGGTGTAGTGGTAAGTGACATGGTCACTACACAAGGGGGTCGCGGGTTCGAATCCCGCCAAGGGAAGATATTTCTATGATAAATATAAATGTATTTTTCAGGGTTATGGATGTCTATTAAATATATGTATGTGTATAATAAAAATGTTACATTTATTTCCGTTATCTGGTACCTGTAACACAAGTTCTTTACGAACTTATCACGGAACCAGTTAACGTGGCGTGATTGTTGGTAAATATTTATTTATTCACTGTGTCTGAGGTTTAATTTGCTTGCCGAGCCCTTCATAGCAAGCGACGGGTTCGACGAGAACGGTGAACGGTGCTTGGAATGCCTAAAAAGCACCGCTAGTGAATCGGGAGGATCCGAAGTGACGTGTTTTGGGCGACGGTGACTGCTTACCGTTTGGTCCCCAGGATCGAGTATATAGTTGCCGTTAGTAAGAAAGTTATCGTGTCAAGGGAAGACATTTGTATGATAAATATATAAATGTATTTTTCAGGGTTATGGATGTCTATTAAATATATGTATGTGTATAATAAAAATCTTACATTTATTTCCGTTATCTGGTACCTGTAACACAAGTTCTTTACGAACTTAGCACGGGACCACTTAACGTGGCGTGATTGTTAGTAAATATTTATTTACTAAAAAAAAAGCCTACACACATCACATTGCAAATTCCATCATACGACCACAACTCGACTATACACTACGTCGCAATGCATGCAACAGTCCAATAATATAATCGTTGTCTGTGAACGAACCTAATACTAGATAAGAGCTTTATCATTATTATTTTAAAAAAAACCTACTTATTTCTTTATTATGTTTGGAAATCAAAGGTCGATGATAAAACCAAGAACACTATATTGTACATATAATTTTTATTTTATTAATTAACTAGCTGACCCGGCAGACTTCGTAGTGTCTCAATCGATAAATAAAAGACACATCAAGGGGACACATCTAAGGAAAAACAAAATTGTTTGTTTTTATATAATTCCAAGCTTTTTTTTATATTTTTTCACCTTTTAAACCTTACCTGAACTTCCACGAATAATTCAAGACCAAAATTAGCCAAATCGGTCCAGCCGTTCTCGAGTTTTAGCGAGACTAACGAACAGCAATTCATTTTTATATATAGAGATGTAATTTTGGTAACGTTATGTTGTTTCTGTAACTGAATTAATAAATAAATATCGAGACGTGAACACGACGTAAATAAATAAATAAATAAATAAATATTTACTAACAATCACGCCACGTTAACTGGTCCCGTGATAAGTTCGTAAAGAACTTGTGTTACAGGTACCAGATAACGGAAGTAAATGTAAGATTTTTATTATACACATACATATATTTAATATACATCCATAACCCATTGGAAAATATATATATATTTATCATACAAATATCTTCCCTTGGCGGGATTCGAACCCGCAACCCCCTTGTGTAGTGACCATGTCACTTACTACTACACCAGACGGCCGTTAACAGTTGAACATTACAATTGATATTTCAAATTTTCAAATAAGTGCCAGCATCAGCGTTGTGATATCTATAGGCTTCGATAGCTTAGTATCAATGGGTCTGTGGGGCAGTTTGCCGACTACAACCTAATCTGAGCTGAATTAATTTTAGTTTAGTTTTAAACCAATATTCTTGGTATACGTTTTTGACGTGACAAAGTCTTATAATTCGATGGAGCCGGCTGCACGCACGAAAAAACAAGACTCATGCGGCGTTACCTCGCTCTGAGGCGTTCCATTTAAGTTGGAGTTAATAATTTAATAATTGAGTAAGTTTAAGAGTAAGTTTAATGATTGCGTTTATTTTCTTATGACGTTGTCACGTTCAACTATTTTTTTTATTGCTTGGATGGGTGGACGAGCTCACTGCCCACCTGATGTTAAGTGGTTACTGGAGCCCATAGACATCTACGACGTAAATGCGCCACCCACCTTGAAATATAAGTTTTAAGGTCTCAAGTATAGTTACAACGGCGGCCCCACCCTTCAAACCGAAACGCATTACTGCTTCACGGTAGAAATAGGCAGGGTGGTGGTACCTACCCGTGCAGACTCACAGGAGGTCATACCACCAGTACGTCACCGTCTTGAGCTTATTTATTTATCGAAGCTGCAATGCACTCCAGTTCAAAGGGTGGGTCTATCTCCATAACAGACAGATGATATCTTCCAATCTATCAATAAAGGTATTAAGCAGGGCCACGCGCTTGTGCGGGCGGTCGCGCAAATCGCGATTTAATACCTCCCTGAGCACACACTTAAGGGCAGATTGTAATTGTTTTATGAGGGGAGGATTCTGACTGACGCTACCCCGGAATGACGGAAATTCCGGAATCAAAGTCATTCACACGTGCAATTGAAAATGCTTACTCTAAATATTGTTCAAAGGTAAACTTTTAACCATATTTCGAAATTCCACTAGGATGCTGGGTTTAAGACTCCGCTGATCAAGCTCTCATCGCATCATTACTGTTGGTAGGACCACTTGTTAGTCCGCGCGGGTAGGTACCACCACCCTGCCTATTTCTGCCGTGAAGCAGTAATGCGTTTCGGTTTGAAGGGCGGGGCAGCCGTTGTAACTATACTGAGAATTTAGAACTTATATCTCAAGGTGGATGGCGGCCGTTTACGTTGTAGATGTCTATGGGCTCCGGTAACAACTTAACACCGGGTGGACTGAAAAAAAAACTGAGGAACAGCAATTCATTTTTATATATTATATATATCATATAAGATAGATTAAACGCAGCCGCGGTATATCCTAGTTCAAGCTACACGTTATCCCGCCATTGTGGACGCGGGTGGAGCCTTATCTTGTCGGCACACGCCTGCTCTCTCAGACGTGTTTATTGTTTATTATGGTGAATTACTAAAACGATTTTTATTATCCTATTCTTAAACGAAATATTTTTTCGTAATTATATAACGTCAGTAACTATTTATATAGATTAATTAACAGCGGGATTTTTTAGAACAAGAAGGTAATTGAGTTACATATGAATTTCTGTTGGTGAAATTTTGCGAATCATCTAGAGTAATCTAGACCTGATATAAATCGAAGCTAATATGTTATTCGTTGTCGCATGAATATTATACTAACTACCGCCAATTTTTTTACAAAAATACTTATTGACTTTTACATTTAATTGCTTATTTAGTAGAAAATAATAAAATAAAAACCATATAGATGTACTTAGTGAGAAATTATTTTCTT